GGGGCAAAAGATCTATCTGGTTTCAAGATTAAACTAGATGGGTTTATGAAGGGGATGGTTTGATGAGATAACATGATCTTGGTAACTAATTGACCATTCATTATAGTAACTCCTATCATCCCTCCATTGACCTATTCCCACTGATAGAGAACTTTCTGGGTGTCTGGCTGATGAGTCTTGCCCACATGCGCAGGGTTTAGCTGATCGCCATATTTGGGGTCGGGAAGGAATTTTCCTCCAGGGTAGATTGGCAGAGGCCCTGGAGGTTTTTCGCCTTCCTCTGTAGCATGGGGTACAGATCACAGCTAGAGGATTCTCTGCATCTCGGGGTCTTCAAAGTATTTGAAGGCTTCAATATCTGCGATATAGGTGAGAGGATTATTCTGGGAGGGGTGGGTGAGATTCTGTGGCCTGCACTGTGCAGGGGGTCAGACTAGATGATCATAATGGTCCTTTCTGACCTTAAGGTCTATGAGTCTACATTGGCCACGGACGCTTTTCCGCAAAAAGTGCTTTTGCGGAAAAGCATCCTGCCAATCTAGACGTGCTTTTCCGAAAATGCTTTTAACGGAAAACTTTTCCAGTAAAAGCATTTTCGGAAATTCATGCCAGTGTAGACGTAGCCAAGGACTGTAGCAGAGGTGGCCACATCACAGCTTATGAGCCGCATCCAATGCCACAGTTAAAGTGCAGTTCGTGGAGCTCCCATCACACTTCTCTCTCTTCTTTGTCTACCAGACTGAGGGGGTGGCGCTTGGGGCTTCTGCCCAGTGGCAGGGAGATGTGGCTGCAGCAGCAGTTGCCTCTTACAGGGCTGAAGCCCTGAAACCCACCACTGTACCATGTAGCTGAAGCCCTGATCCCTGGCAGGCAAGCCCTACCTTTTCAACTTCTGAAGATTGTTGTATGCAGCTTAGAGATCAGTAAATTCAGCCACCCTGAAAAATAGCCACTCTGGCATAGGATGCCAACAAGCAATTTAATGCTGATAACTTCTTGTCATCACTAACGTGAGCCAAATTTAAGCTATTAACATTGGAGGTCCCTTAAGTCATTCAGTTTTCCTTGTATATTTTTATATGCTACTGTTTTCAATTGTTGCCTTTGGGTCAGTTAAGGAAAAAACCTTCCAACCTTCGTTACAAATAGCACCAAGTAGCAGGCTGCTTTTCCTCAGATTTGAATTCCATCACCTGCAGCCATGTTTAGGGTGAGAACAGGTGGATGAGGTTGGGCAAAGTCACAGAGATAGTGCCACTCTGACTTGACTTAATCTTGTAAAATGAACACTTGTAATTTTTTTGAAGCTAATAAACATATTTTCCTCAGCTGTCTTCTGTACTGGAGGCAGAGATGGAAACATCATGGTTTGGGATACCAGATGCAACAAAAAAGGTAGGTGAGCTTTCAGATGTGTGTGATGGGGCTGGTGTTTTTGTTTAGTACTGGATCTTATTAATTGGATTGATGCAGTTTATTGCAGTACAGTGAAAGCCCCTTGAACATGTCATGGATAATTTGAGGGGAAAGCTGCTATAGAGGGGTAAAACCAAGGAACTGATTTATCTAGATTTGAAGGCTATTGCAATTTTAATGGGACTCTCAGATTTGTCTGAGTCTGTGTAATTACATTATTTACTTATAGTCAGTCCTGTGCCCCCCCGTTTTTTACTTGTGTACTTGATTTTTTTTCCCTTTCCTAAGTGCAATACTCTGTACTTGTCATTATTGAATTTCATTTTGTTGATTTCAGACCAATGCTCTGATTTGTCAAGGTCATTTTCAATTCTAATATTGTCCTTGGAAGTGCTTGAAACATCTTCCTGCTTAGTGTCTTTCAACCGCTTGTAAGATGTTTATGGTAATTACATGAATATCACATTTCCCTGGTTTGCTTATGAGAGTGTCATGTGGCACTGGGTTCAAAAGCCTTGCTAAAATGAAGATCCCTCTTGTCTTCCTCAATATCCACCAGTTCAGTAAAGAACATACCAAAGAAGGAAATGTTGATTTGTTCTTGCATAAATCGATGCTGCTTGGTCTTTCTAACCCTATTATGCTCTAGGTCAGTGGTCTCCAACCATTTAACACCCAAGATCACTTTGTAATTGTCAGGGCAAGCCAAGATCTACCCTTGCCCAACACCCTACCCTTTCCTTGAAAGCCCCATTTTTTTGAGTCAAGGGGCCACTGACCCACAGAAAAATCAGTTGGGGCTCTCACAAGTAGGATGCAAAAAAACAACCCCTCCAAAATGCCCCAAGATCCCAACTGAGATCCTTCCTTCCCTTGGCACTCCAGCCCCACGGGAGTGGGGAGGGTAGGTAGGACTGAGGTTCAAGGCCTCAGGCCAGATTAACTCTTCTGGGGTTCCAGGATTAGTGGATTTTGTGGGCCCCCTCTACACTCTGAGGTGGGGCCAAAAATGAGGGATCCAGTGTGCATTACCGGGCTGCCAATGAATGGGATAGGGATGGGGATGTAGAATCTGGGTGGAAAACTGGATACGGGAGCAAGGTGGGGGGGAGATGTCTGGCCGGGAGGGAGCAGGAGCAGGGTCCTGGTGGTTGTCTGGACAGGGTGCTGGATGGTATCTGCCAAGGGGCAGCAGCTGGGTGCTGGTGGGGGTCTGAGCAAGGGCAGGGAAGGAGGCTGGTGGATGTTTGGCTAGGGGTGAGGAACAGGGTGCTGGTGGAGGTCTGGCCGGGGGAAAGGGGAAGAGCAGCTCGGCTGGTACCTGGGGGTTTCTAAGGATGAGGATCTCTGGGGCAGGATCTGCAGGCAGTGCTGGTTGAACTGCATGTGTGGCTCGTTTAAGAAATCTAGCCACTATGGATCCTGCGCCATATTAAACACACACACCCTCCCTCACCTCCCCAGATCATGGGGAAGGAAGGGAAGACAAGAAAGCACACATGCAGTTTTGGGCTGGGGAGGAGTGTGCACTTTCTTGTCTTTCCTTCCTTCCCCGTGCTGCCTGCCTTCCTTCCTGCAGTGTGGAGGGGAAGTCCTGACACTCCGCACCAGCACTATGGATCCTGCGCCATATTAAACACACACACCCTCCCTCACCTCCCCAGATCATGGGGAAGGAAGGGAAGACAAGAAAGCACACATGCAGTTTTGGGCTGGGGAGGAGTGTGCACTTTCTTGTCTTTCCTTCCTTCCCCGTGCTGCCTGCCTTCCTTCCTGCAGTGTGGAGGGGAAGTCCTGACACTCCGCACCAGATTCGGCTTCTCAGGAAGCACGCTATCTGGTGCGGTGCCGCAGGACTCCAACCCCGTCCCTACACACACACACACACACACACACACACACACACACACACACACACACTGCAAGAAGCCGGAGCTAGCTCCATTTTTGCAGGAGGCTGTAGTGCCAGCGTGGGCTCCTTGTTGGGGGAGAGGAGGGAGCTGGGAACACTGCCTTGCGATCGACTGGCAGTTCCCTCGCAATCGACTGGTTAGTGACCACTGCTCTAGCTGCTTATAAATTGATTGTGTAATAATTGACCTATTGTTCAGTTAGAGGTGCTACAAATTATTTTTAGTTGCTGATCAATGCTATAGCTATCCAGACCTACGCTCTTGGTGCCTGCTGTTCTCCATGCTTCCACTGTGCCTTTGCTCTTACTAGACAATATGGGACTTTAACTCACTGGATCAGGCAGAGGCATTTCACAAACAAATTTTTCCCAAGATAGGGATGTGATAGTGTAAACATGTAAGCAGTTTACTTTAACGGTTGCATGAAGCTCCCCGCCCCCCGCACTGCTGCCTCTCTTAGAAGCAGGAGCCGGTGCATGCAGGGAGCCAGTTTTTCTCGTAGAACCACCTGCTCCATGTGTAAATGTGTAACCACTGAAATTTTCAGTGGTTGCAAGTTTACCTGAGAGAACACATTTTAACATCCCTAATCTAAGACCAACTAGAAAAGAGCATGTGAGGGTTAGGACTGTGAGCTGGTAGATTAATTGCTGTGATTCAACGAGGGGCTGTTTGTACTTCACTTAATCAGGAAGAATTGAATCTATTGAGGAGTCCTGCCTGCATGGCAGCTGTTACATTATATGCTCATGTGCTTTACTTCCTGCTTCTATTCAGCATTACAAATAACTGAAAATGCTTGTTTGCAGAGTATATTAGTGAAACTGAAGGTCCGGCTGTCACTTCCTAGAATGTATTTCCACTAAGTGTTTATTTTTATTACATCTGTGGCAATAAATAGGAGCTAATCTAGCAGTAATAAATGAGTCTTTCTGGAACTGTCTTTCAGATGGATTTTATAGGCAGGTGAATCAAATCGGAGGAGCCCACAATGTAGACAAGCAGATATCCTCCAAATCGAAGAAGAAAAAACAAAATCTGAGAGGACTTGCCCCTTCAGTGGTAAGAATCTGGAAGGTGAAAGAAATATAGGACTCAGCTTCCCAGGGTAGCATTTTCTGTTGTGGTAGCTGTGCAAAGTAATGAACAGAAGAGTGTCTCAACTTGGAAGAGCTTTGTGGTTTGAATGGGATAGGAACTTATCTTCATCAAAGCCTGATCTTGCCCTTTCATAACCAGATGCAGTGATCAATTTGGGTCAACTGTGTGAGGAATTAAATGAGATCCAAATTTATCATTGAGCAAATCATGTCTTTTTCCTTGCCGAGGATGCGCTTGTCTTTTTACTTTAGGAGGCAATCCATACCCAACATTATTCCATTCCTACGCTTCTAAGATTGTCTTTTTCAGAAAGCCATTCACACTGTCATACTTTGATATTTATAAGTCATGGGAGAAAGAGTTGTGCCTGTTTCATCCACTAAATGCCGTGGTGTGAGGGTGTGATGTAGTGGGGGTGCTGTCTACTTTTTAACCCTGTGTTTCTGCCTGTCTGTATTGTGTTGTGTGATTCCCAATGACTCACAAGTGTGTATTGGCCATAGACACCTAAGGGCCAGCCTGAGAAAATAACAACTCCGTTCCCAGAGAAAGAGACAAAGGGATATAAGTGGGGCTGCCTGGAGGCTGAGGGACCAGTTGCTGGGAGTGTGGGTTAGTCTCGGCTTGGGGAGATGAGGGGAGACTGAGATCAGGAAAGGGGGATTGAGGGCCTGTGAGCCCTCCCCAAGAGGAATAAGTCTGTCTGTTCCCAGTGCCTGTGCTAACATCGATCCTATACTACGTTGTGTCCCTGAGAACCAATAAAACATTCTACTCTGCTGTCTGGCTGAGAGTCACATCTGGCTGTGGATGGAGGTTCAGGGTCAGGGGCTCCCCGACACCCTGTCACAGATTAAACGTAGTAGAGCCCTCTATTAGGGGTGTTAGATAGCTGGTAACAGAATAGCCAAGTAACTGCATGAATCCTTAACAGTTAGTCAACTGGGGAGCCCACATGTAGTGTTTTACATGCTGCTTGTAATTATTAGAACTGGGAGCATTGGCTCTTGGTAGTCTGGAAGCACAGGAAGGAGTGGGGAGAAGATTGGCAGGGGCTGAATGAGAGCTACTGAGGGATGCAGCAGCTTTTTAAAGAGGCTCCACTTTTGGTAAATAAAGTACCATTGAAGTTTCTTAGTACCTTGCTTGCATGATACAACACTCCACCACCCCACCCTGTTGCCTTTGTATCAGGCGGGAGCTGGTCCACAAAGGGAGCCAGTTTAAAAACCGGCTCCTTGTGCAGACCAGCTTCCTGTGATAGAGGCAGCAGCACAGGCAGGTGGCAGATGGCACTGTGGAGCCTGTGCTGGGAGGAACGGGCTTTTAAGCCAGCTCCCCCCAGAACCAACTTCTGTTTTCCCCAGGGAGGGAGTGTGGGGAAATGTGAGTAGTCCTAGTCTATGAGGTTTTTTTCAAATCACATCGACTTATGTGGGAATTCTACTTACCGAGGGACTTGTAGAATCAGAACCCAGCATCCTAAATGCTACTGGCACTCCTGCCTATAGTAACTAACTTGCTGGGAAAAAAAAAGCTTTGTGACTCTAATGGAGTTCAGGGACTGAAACACTACTAAAGCAGGACTGAGGCTGGTTAACAATTTGGTAGAACCCAGAATGAATCTGCTGGGGAGGGAAAGTGAACTGGTTTCCCAGACATTCTTGCTAGTCTTGAACTTTGCAGAGAATCTGTACTGACTCTTGACAGAAAACAAATAGCTTTCTTTTCCTTTTAGGATTTCCAGCAGAGTGTGACAGTGGTGCTGCTTCAAGATGAACACACCCTTATCTCTGCTGGAGCTGTTGATGGGTAAGGAGAGAGAGAGAGAATTTATGTTTTTCTGAACTAATCTGAATTTTCTTCTGTGACACAGATAGAAACAAAGCAGAAATTATATGGGTCCCAGTAGATTTTACATATTGCTTGAATCACAGTACATTGCTAGTGAACATCTCAAGTGCCTGTTCATTTTGCAAAATCTAGAGTAGACCATAAAAGCCATGAATGGTTCTAATGGGAGGCAAGTTCAGGCTCTGGTATTCTGGCACATGGGAGGATGAGATGCCTTTTTAACTGTACAGGGAAATTTACTCTACTTGCCAATTAGAAAGGTCTCTAAGTTGTCATGGGATAAGAGGGAAAGTCCTTTCATGGATTGATAACTGGTTAAAAGACAGGAAACAAAGGGTAGGGATGAATGGTAAGTTTTCTGAGTGGAGGAAGGTAATTAGTGGGGTGCCCCAATGGTCCATCTTGGGACCAATCCTATTCAACTTATTTATAAATGATCTGGAGAAAGGGGTAAACAGTGAAGTGGCAAAACTTACAGATGATACTAAACTGCTCAAGATAGTTAAGACCAAAGCAGACTGTGAAGAGTGTCAAAAAGATCTCGCCAAACTAAGTGATTGGGCAACAAAATGGTAAATGAAATTTAATGTAGATAAATGTAAAGTAATGCACATGGAAAAAATAATCCCATCTATACATACAGTATGATGGGGACTAATTTGGCTACAACTACTCAAGAGAAAGATCTTGGAGTCATTGTGGATAGTTCTCTGAAAACATCCACTCAGTGTGCAGCAGCAGTCAAAAAAGAAAATAGAATGTGAGTAATAATTAAAAAAGGGATAGAGAATAAGACGGAGAATGTCTTATTGCCTCTATATAAAACCATGGTACGCCCACATTCTTGAATACTGCGTACAGATGTAGTCGCCTCATCTCAAAAAAGATATATTGGCATGGAAAAGGTTCAGAAAAGGGCAACAAAAGGGTCCCATATGAAGAGAGATTAAAAAGACTTGGATTTTTCAGCTTACAAAAGAGGAGACTAAGGGGGGGGATATGATAAGGGTCTAAAAAACCTCTTCCAGCACTGCTCCTGTCTCCTGTGCCTAGCCAGACAGACCACCTGACCATGGATGCTTCTACCCAGACTCTGGTGTAGTTTTGCAGGGACTGTGGCTTGCAGTTCCCACCTACAGAAATCCACTTACAGAAATTCAGGCTGGGGGACCATCCAATGTGAAGGGTGCCTGCTGGTGGGATCTCAGGAAGCAGTTGGGAGAAGAATAAGAAATGCCTGAAATAACAGCTGAGGAGTATCCAAATCCATGAGCAATTCCTGGAGAGTATTCATGTGATGACAGCTGAGGCTGGAATCCATTTTGAGCCTGGTATTTTTCCATGGAAAAGAGGGTGTAAAATAAAGGATTCCCCACCCTAGGGGAGAATCAATTTAAATTATCGAAAGCAATCCCCTTTGTTTTTGTCTGGTGTAGGAAACTGCCTGGCACACCCTAAAAGAATAAAAAGAATTTTAAAGAGGGCTGGAGACTCAAGTCAGAGCAAAAGAGTGTATCTGCCCTGAAGATAAATTCATGGAGGTTAGGTCCATAAAAGGCTTTTAGTTAGGGGGTTAGGAATGGTGTCTCCAGCCTCTGTTTGTCAAAGGCTGGAGATGGATGGCAGGAGACAAATCGCTTAATCATTGTCTTCGGTCCATCCCCTCTGGAGCAGCTGGCACCGGCCACTGTCGGCAGACAGGATATTGGGCTAGATGGACCTTTGGTCTGACCCAGTATGGCCGTTCTTATGTTCTTAAGATCATGCCTGAAATAAGAACAGCTCTTTGGAGTAAGAATCTGCATGCAATAAGTTTCTTAGTGGATTAGCACTAGCTGTGCATTTTCTATTCATTTTAATTTAGTTAGTAACTTTAATGTGTCTGTTTTCATGTGCAACCACTTGAATCCTACTGTTTGTACTTAATAAAACACTTTTGTTTACTATCAGGCCAGTGTAAATAATTGTTACCTGGGGGGAAGCAACCCTTGTGCATGTCTCTCATTCATTGATAAAGGGAGCTTACTTGATAAGTTTTCCTTGTGTAAAACTTTTATACAGAGAGAGACAGATTTATTTGTTGGGGGGTTGGCCCCATTTGGGGGTTGGTTTCTTAGGTGCTGAGCCCTAGAACTGTGTCAACCCAGAGCTGAGGGGATTCAGTATCTGCATTACTGTGCAAGGGGGCGATAACCCCAACTCTATGCCTTATCTGAAGGAGACCAGAGGATCTGGTCCCACAGGACAGGTGGGTGAGCAGCACCAAAGAGCAAGAAGGTACATGACAGTGGCATGATCAGCATGCTGTGGAACAATCCCAAGGGAACTTCTGTGACTGTACCCCATCATAGGGAGCCATCTTCATTGCTGTAGAATGCTTTTATCAGGTGTAAAAGTTGAAGATGACCATATCTTGAATTTCAGTGTAATCAAAGTATGGGACCTGCGCAAGAACTACACCATGTATCAGCAGGATCCAGTGCCATTCAAATCATTCTGCTATCCTGGGCTCAGCACTCGCAAGCTGGGTAAGCAATTGAATGATATATTCCTCAAAGTAGCAGGTTAATCTGAAAAATGTTGTGAAAGAAGATGGCTTTGAGGGAGTTCATATCTTGTCAGTAATTTCCAGATCTGATGTATTTATTTTAGCAGAACTTAAAAAAACCCAAAAAAACCACACCATAAATCAAGCAAATATCTGAAAATTCTGCTTCTGTATATTCAAAACAGTAATAACTCCTGTGGGCCTTTCCAATAGAGATATAGAGAAATAAGTGGGTGGAGAATGTGGCCCTGCAATTTGGACTTTGCTAACTTGGTGATGATGAATAAGCTAAAACCAAATTCAACTCCTCTCCGCTGAGCCAACAGGGTCCAACACAGTAAAATTTCTATCGGTCAGCAAAGGAAGCAGCTCTAACTCTGAATACACACAGGAAGCAGATCTACGGAGTAAGAAAATGCTATTTTTACATGGTAGCTTTCTTGACTACAACCTGCTTTGTTTACAGTAAGATGGGCCTTATTCTTGATTTGTTTCTGTTGCTTTGCACTTACACTGATTAAAATCCTCCTATCTAACTCCACAAGAATAGCATACTGGATCAGACCAATGCTCCACCTTGTTCAGTATCTTGTCTCTGACAGTACAAGTCCAGTACCAGCTGCTTTGGAAAAAGATAAAATAAATCCTACAGCATACAGTTATAAAATAATATGCATATGCAGACAACAGGTGTTTTTTTGGGGGGGGTTGTTTTTTCCCCCCCTAACCCTGGAACCTTAACTAATCAGCTAGAGGTTGGTTTATGCTCTGAGTTTTGTGTTTCTACCAACGTTTTGGGTGGTTGTTTATCCAGATTTAATCAGTAAATTTTAAATAGTCTTGTTAGCCATGTAAATTCAACTTTACAAATGCTTGTGAGATTACTTCTTTTGAAAATGTGGCTTATACAGGTGAGATGGACTGTTTCTAAACTCCTTGAAGTCTTGGGAGAGTTTAGGGGTGAGAATATGCTGCATCAGTTCTAGGAAATTTGATCCTTCGGTTACTGTGTCCTCTGAAAAAAGAGTGAGCATATCCCATCTAATAGAGATGCTATCAGAATTGTGCCCACAAGCCTCTTTCTTCACTACAGTTGTGTTTTTCAGTGCATTATAATAATCTAACTGCACCACTGCATGCAATTTCTTTTTTTTTTTTTTTTTTTTTGAATTATTGGTAATGCAGGACTTCTCTATCTGTATCCAGGATATTCTAGTCTGGTTTTGGACTCCACTGGTACCAGCCTGTTCGCTAACTGCACAGATGACAATATTTACATGTTTAATATGACAAGTTTAAAGACCACTCCAGGTAAGAATGATATCTGTGGAAAGAGCTGCCAGATGCCTAGACTGACCCAATAAAATGCTTCTTCTGAGTTTCAGCCACAAGTTAGGCATCTGCTAAAATCTGGTGTCGGGATGGCTCAGGGCATTGTTAAAGGGTACAGACCTCTTTTTGCCCATCTAGTTCAAGTTGGGTCCAGATCAATAACGAAAGAAAAAGTTGATGAAAACAGATTATTAGTTGGGGGTCAGCCTGGATATTGACACCATATAAGCCACCATCACAACTGAAATAGTTTGTTGGCAGTTTTGGTAGAGTAAGGATGGGCAAAGTTTATTTTGTCTTTCTTTTAACCCTTGACGACTGATGTACTGTTTGTCCACTTACATGATTTGGATAGTAGCAATGCAAGCTTTCCCTGTGACTTATGTCTTGGGCAGTCCCTCCAAAACACAGCCACTCAAAGGAATGAGAAGCCTGTTTATTCTTATGTACCTTGTGAGACTTCCCACAAAGAGCATCTACTATGACATCTGTTCTTGAGATGTGCATGGATACATTGTAATGAAAGTGGAATAACACTTGGAACTGGGCTGGAGCGGCCAGCTTACTCAGGCCACGTCTACACTTAGCAGAGATCTGGTGAAGACCTGCTAAACTGACAGCAGAGCACACTCTGGTCAAGTCCAGGACTCCACTGGAACAAGAAGAATAAGGAGAGAATCTTCCTTTGATGTACTGCAGTATAGACACCACTTTAAGTTAATCTAAGTGACGTCGATCCAGTTATGTTATTCACATAGCTGGGGTACCATAACTTAGGTTGACTTACTACAGTAGTATAGATGAGGTCTGAGAGACCACAGCTGCCCGATTAGGAATACTTGGCTTCCAGTCATTATGACTTTAAAGCATACTTTAACCAGTAAACTCAGGGTTGAAGTGCCACAGTCTCTAATGCCATCTCTGAACTCTTAAGTTTCACTAAGACTTAATGAAAAAGAACAAAAAAATGCATGTGGTCTGATGACTAATTGTTTCAAAAAATCTTAAAACATTGCTATTCTGAGTCGAGTTACTATAACTGTCCAGAACACTCCTGCACTATATGGGGTCCTCAGCAGGGATCCAGACTACCTTTTTCAGATGGCTTTGTGCCTCTATGACTTGGGGCCCTACCAAATCCACATTCTGGTAAATTTCATGGTCATGGGATTTTAAAAATGATAAATTTAATTATTTCAGCTATTTAAATCTGAAATGTCATGATATTGTAATTGTAGGTGTCCTGACCCAAAAAGGAGTTTGGGAGGGAGGGAGGGAGTTTGTGGTATTGCTACCTTGCTTCTGCGCAGCTGTTGGCAGCGGCATTGCTTTCGGAGCTGGGAAGCTGGAGAGCGGTGGCTGCTGTCCAGGAAACCATCTCTGAAGACAGGGTTACCAGCAGCAGCAGCACAGAAGTAAGGATGTCATGGTGTGGTATTACCACCCTTGCTTCTGCATTGCTGCTTGCAGAGCTGGGTCCTTAGTCACTGGCCCAACTGCCACTCTCTGGCCACCCACTTGTGTGGTTCCCTAACTGATTTTTCTGTGGGCCAGTGGCCCCCTGACTCAAAAAATGTTCCCTGCCCCTCCAGTAACTAAAAACAATGCTGAAATGTTTTGTGTTGGACATCATATTTTATTTAAAAATGAAGCCTGGCCAACAAGCCCCCAATTGGGGCCAAGCCCCCATCTGCCTGCAGCATCATAACACTCCTGCACCCCCGCCCCCACACCAGCCTTGAGCCCATTATACACCTGAACCCCCTACCCTGAGCCCTCCAAAACCCAAAACTCCTTCACCATTCACATCCCCAGTCTTGTGCCACAACACTGCTGCATCACCCACACACCACAAACCTGTGCGCTAAGCCCATCATACACCCAACCCTCCTGCCCTGAGCCCCTCATATATCCCAACCCAAACTCCTGCACCCTGATATCCTATCCACAAGTCTGCGGCTTGCTCAGCACCCCAGCCCTCCACCTGAGCCCAACACTCTCCAGCCTGGAGCCTCCTCCCCGAGCCAGCATCTCCTTCTCCATCTCCTCTTGCACCCAATTTCCTCCCAGAGCTTGCACCTCTCACCCTTTCCCACACCCAAATCCCTCATTCCCACCCCAGAGCCTGCACCTCCTGTCTCAACCTAATGAGAGTGAGTAAGGGCTGGGGACAGCCAGTGATGGAGAGGTGGGAAATGGGGAGGGCGAGGCCTCAAGGAAAGGGTGGGGTGTGGGGGAAGGGAAGGGGTAGATCTTGGCTTGCCCTGACATTTTAAAGTAATTTGGGGTGTAAAAAGATTGGAGACCACTGCCCTAAAGATACAGAGTTAGATTCCTCCCACCCCCCTCAGCTGCCCTTTAGGGAGGGCAGGAAGGCACCACCCCCAATCTCCTGGTTCATATGGGAGTATAGCTGGCTCATTAGGGAGTGAAGGGAAAGTGCACAGATCGCTGCATTTCTCACTCTGACTTGGGAGTGCAAGGGGGCAGGCAAATTTGAAGCTGCCCCAGCTGGGGGACAGGCTTCCCTCCTCTTGCTGTGCCTGCTGGAGTGACAGTGGCCATAGAGAGGCAATTCTTACCCGGCCCCAAGCTGCTGTGGTGAGAGAGAGCTACTATCACTTGCTTGAAACAGAAACTGTAAAGTTTCCCTGGAGCCAAAGCAATCATTTAAATGAAGAAAAACAAAAATTAATTGAGCTACGGGCTAGGGATATTACATTTTGATTAATCAGCTAATCAAGTAGTCGATACAATTTCCATCAACTTAATTAGTCAATAGTGGGGAGGTGGGGCGCTCGCTATCCTGGCTGCACCTCTGCCTTTAAAATATAGTAAGCCACCAGATACAGAGGCAGCAAGTGGTGGGGGGTGTGACTAGTCGAGTAGTGACTTGAATACCCAATAAGCCTATAGGATTATCAGGTAGCTGACTAGACGCTTACATCCCTATTAAGGACCTGAACAATGCTGGGTAAATCTTCTAGTTATATATAAATGAGGAATATGGGGGTCACACAGTGTTCCCCTAAGGTATAGAATTTCACAGTCTCCATTTAAAATGGAGTTGATAACACTGACAGCTATCCCCAAAGAAGATGAATTACATGTCTGTTTAGAGCCTCAAAGTCATACTATTCTGTGTAAAAAGTAAATAATTTATTCCTAGAGGTGGTTTATAAATAGAGCTGGGCAAATGTCTCCAGTAAATTCACAGAAAAATGCACTTTCAGAGAGACTATTTTGAATTAGTGTAGAATTCAGCCATGTAAAAAAAAATGTCACCATTAAATTTCAAAATGAAATTGTTCAAACAGACATTTTGTCTTAAAAAGATGGCTTCACTTGACCCGAACAAAATGTGTTTGACTTTTATGTTTTGGTAAAAATCTGAAAAAAATCTTGTTTAGTTCAAAACTAAACATATTTTTGGGGCATTTTTCAGTTCAGTTATAAAATCAATTATTCATTCAGTGCTAGCCCTAGAAGAATTGGAGAGTCTCCAGTCTGGCTTTTGATTTTAGTCACTGGCCTCTATCGACTTGTATGCTATGATGGATCAGCATTAGGAGACAAATCTTGATTCATACTGCTGGTTACAAAGTCTTTCACTTTTGTTTCAAAAAATTCTCAGACAGACTGTCCGTCTTATTCCAAGCCCAGCAGAGGGCAGCAGACTCTTGCAAATTCACTTCAATGACTAGAAAACCACCAAGGTCTACTATTGCTTTTCTCTTGGTAGCTCTGTCTAAATCAATTCTGTTCCCTTTTGATTTGGAGCAGGAAGTAGGCAAATGGCTCTTCAGTAGGATCTGTCCGTGTTGCCAGCGTGCAAGCTCTTGCTACATCCTGTCACTCTGTACACACTACACTGAAACCAAAGCTGTCAAAAGGTATAGGATTTAGTGGCATGTGGTGACCTTTGTAAATGCAAGTTCATAAAATACTCCAAATTCAAAATAAAATTACAGTTTCTATTTCAAGAAAGTTCTTTGGTAAATAATTGAAAAGCTTGATAGTTTCATGGTAACTAAACACTTGCTAAATTGCTGCTCTAAGTTCTTAATATATTTCTGCTGTAAATCAGACCCCACTATGTTTATAGTTCACTAAAGAGACTTCCTAACTCCATATGCCAGTGTTGGCAGAGAGCCTCAGTCACGTATCATGCTAAATTGGGCAACTTGCCCTTTCTACCTTGATAAGAAGCTCGGGTGCAGAGTAGTCGAGTGCTCTAGATTTGTGTGCTGCTCCCATGTAGGCTGCCGGAACTTCCAGTTCTTGACATACCAAGAATTGCAGCTATTCAGGGCAGTAGTTTCAAGGCTTAATAGTTCAGGTGAAGTGTTACTGAGACTTTAAAAATAGACAAGTGACCAGTGTCTTGAGCCAGCACAAGATATAAGATGTTCTTAAGATACAAAAGACTGACAGAAGGGGAAGCAGCAAATGCCTCCTCCACTGTTTCATTAGAAGCAAGGTCTTAGCTAACAGTTACTGAGTTCTCCACTCTTTTTGGTGAGTGCGGGGAGCTGCAGTCATGGCTCTCAGAATAGGAGATAAAGAGGCTGGCTGAGGGACCTAAGTCTGGGCCCGGAGGAGGTCCCTTCCTGGAGCTGTCACCTGGGGAGGAGAGGATTTAACAAAACTATTAGATGACTGCACCACTGTGGTGTGGGGAGGCCAGTTTAGGCAGTGATTCTCAATCAGAGATCTAGGGCCATGAGCAGATTTCTGGGGGTCCACCAAGCAGGACTAGAATTACACTAGCTGAGGCCCAGGGCAGAAAGCCAAAATTCTACCACAAGGAGCTGAGGCCCTGGGCTTCAAGCCCTACCATCTGGGGCTGAAGCCAAAGCATGAGCAACTTAGCTTTGAAGGGTGTCCTATGTCATTGGGCCCTGAGCAGTTGCCCAGCTTTCTACCCCTAATGCTGGTCCTGGCTTTTATATGCAGAAAAACAGTTGTGGCACAAGTGGGCTATGGATTTTTTTACAGCATGTTGTGGGTGGTGCTCAGAAAAACTGATTGAGAACACCTGGGTTTAGAGCACAAGGGAATGGTGCCTCTTGCTAGTGCATGAAACTTTGGACCCTAAAGCAAGAGAGGCTGTATAACCACTTCCTTTTGAGTGATGTGAACAGGCAGGAAAAGCCTGTAATGTCAGCCTTAATTGTGTAACCAGCTGAAGTCAGAATTATGTTCTGAGTTTGTTTATTTTTATTTTTATTTGACTCAGTGGCAGTCTTCAATGGACACCAGAATTCAAGCTTTTATGTCAAGTCCAGCACTAGCCCAGATGACCAGTTCCTGATTAGTGGCTCAAGCGACCAGAGTGCCTACATCTGGAAGGTGAGACATTTGAAAGAAACCCAAACACACAGCCCAAAGCTGACTGCCCAGAATTGTTCTGTTTTCTCCTTTTGTTTGCTTTCCATTTCACATAGTGAATTTAAAGGTCACATTTAAAGCAGCATAGGCTTAGTTCTTGGCATGTTGTACCTAGAGCATACAGCTGTCAAACCTGAATGTAACTATTAATGTAAAAGAAAGCTAAACCCCTGTCTCGCTCATCACTGCTGATTATTGTGAGTTGCTTATCTTAATCTGGTTTTAATGGGCTTTAATATTTTTCAATCTTGTTTATTCAGAAATTTTGACAGGTAGAAAGTTCTTGGTTCATATTTAGCAGAGGTGCACATTAGTAGATTCTAACAAATTAATTGTTTTAAGGGGCACTTTTTTCCAGTTGATAAACTCTTGCTTCAGACCTAGCTTTTTCTCATGCTTAATTTACAGTAGTTAAAGCCTCTGTATTATGGTAAGGGCTCAGCCAGAGCCTTCAGCAAAATTCAGAAATACTGGCTAACATCTGAGGAGCTTAGTCACTTGGCATCTCAAGCTGACGTGTAGGAAATGCAAATGTCACCATGTTAATTGTAGGACCTTCAAAATGAGAGAAGCTTCAAGTTCTTTTCTCTGCTGTGTGGTGTGGGGGGAGGCATTCTCAGATAGAGACCTTTAGGTGACACATTGTGTCGGTTTTTCTGTGTAATTCTTCAGATTACGCTGTTTAATGCTGAAATAAATCCTGATTGGGGTGTCTTTCAATACTGTGCTACTATACTCGGGTATAATTTGAGACGCATTGATTGTAAGAGCAGGAGATCAAGGAATCAAGTGACCTTGGAATCATGCATCTTAACTGTCCATAAGTCTTTTTTTCTTAATCTTAGAATTGTTATTTTGTCTCCATTTTACATTAGCACCATTGGCCTAAATACAGCCTCTCTAATGCAGGAAGCTCCTGCCATCCCTAATTAATATTGCTGGTGTGCAAAGTAGATTTTTTGCACAAATACATACACCCCTATATATTTAGAGATCTATTAGTTGGGTTTCCTTATCCTGGCACCTGCCATGTAGTGGTGAATTCCAGTAGATTGGTACCTATTTAAATATCCACAACAACTTAATCCACTTGAGTTGAATCTTCATTTTCATCTCTGAATATTGTGTTCCATGCCCAAACTCCCCTCCCTCAAGTAACCCTGTCCACTGTGCAACCTCTACACTGTCATCTGTTGTTTAGAGGCAAAATTGATCTCCTTACAGGGGATAAGAAAGAGCTATTTAAATGTGGTTCATCAGACCTGTAACCAGTCAACTTCAAACAGACTTGCATGACTCCTTTGGAATTCCTTGGTTCGGTCATATTCACTACCAAATGATATATTTGATGTGATGCATCTACTCCTGCCCATAACTCAACATGTTCCTTCTGATATCAAGCACTGACAAAGTCAGTTGTTCTAAAATCAAACCAACCTGCTCTCTTTTCATGAAGGGTTTGGAAATGAAAGCAAAGTTAGAAAGTGTAGAGTAGGTACAGCTGCAGTCTTGGCTCAGGTTTGTAGCCATTTTAGGTCTGTAAGAAGCATTTGTGAGTGCTTATTTCAGGAGTAGCAGCAATGCGGTGATGTACTTGTTTTCATAGCAAAACTAGTAGGTAACGAATTAGGCTTAAGGGAAAGTTAAGAGAATGTGGATTGGATAAATGGACGGTAAGATGGATAGAAAGATGGCTAAAAGGCCGGGCCCAGCGGGTAGTGATCAATGGCTCGATGTCAGGATGGCGGTCGGTTTCTAGTGGAGTGCCCCAAGGTTCGGTTCTAGGACCGGTTTTGTTCAATATCTTCATTAATGACCTGGATGAGGGGATGGATTGCACCCTCAGCAAATTTGCGGATGACACTAAGCTGGGAGGAGAGGTAGATATGCTAGAGGGCAGAGATAGGGTCCAGAGTGACTTAGACAAATTGGAGGATTGGGCCACAAGGAATCTGATGAGGTTCAACAAGGACAAGTGCAGAGTCCTGCACTTGGGGCCGAAGAATCCCAAGCATAGTTACAAGCTGGGGACCAACCAGTTAAGTAGTAGTTCTGCAGAAAAGGACCTGGGGGTTACAGTGGATGAGAAGCTGGATATGAGTCAACAGTGTGCCCTTGTAGCCAAGAAGGCTAATGGCATATTAGGTTGCATTAAAAGCCGCATTGCCAGCAGATCCAGAGATGTCATTATTCCCCTTTATTCGGCTCTGGTGAGGCCACATCTGGAGTATTGTGTCCAGTTCTGGGCCCCCCACTACAAAAAGGATGTGGCCGCATTGGAGAGGGTCCAGCGGAGGTCAACCAAAATGATTAGGGGGCTAGAACATATGACCTACGAGGAGAGGCTGAGGGAATTGGGTCTGTTTAGTCTGCAGTAGTGAAGAGTGAGGGGGGGATTTGATAGCAGCCTTCAACTTCTTGAAGGGAGGTTCCAAAGAGGATGGAGAAAGGCTGTTCTCAGTAGTGACAGATGGCAGAACAAGGAGCAATGGTCTCAAGTTGTGGTGGGAGGGGGCCAGGGTGGATATTAGGAAAAACTATTTCACTAGGAGGGTGGTGAAGCACTGGAATGGGTTACCTAGGGAAGTAGTGGAGTCTCCATCCCTAGAGGTGTTTAAGTCTCGGCTTGACAAAGCCCTGGCCGGGTTGATTTAGTTGGGATTGGTCCTGCCTAGAGCAGGGGGCTGGACTTGATGACCTTCTCTTCTAGAGGTCTCTTCTAGCTCTATGGTTCTGTCATTCTAGGCTTAATCATATCAGGCCCTTCAGAAAACTGTCTGTGTGATTTTGCATTGCACATTTCAGGCCCACCAAGGAGGGATGCTTTTTAAAAGAGTCCCTGGAAACTATGCTGGGAACAACATAGAAATATTAAGGCCTTCATAAAAATGAGAAAAAAATGGATTCAAAATTCATCTGTTTATTTTTATAAGAATCGCAGTGGTGTGGCATGTGGATGTAAAACATTAATTAAAACAAATATATGAAGAGTAGTCAGATGGCCATTATTACAGTTAATGTCTGGCTATTTTATGTAGTGGTAGTGTTTTCTATAGTAACAACTGAAAACATACCACAAATCACAGCATCCAACCACTTGACTACCTACTCAGATTTCTTTTTGTGCCTTGAAGGCTGCCAGACTTTGATTTTGATGTAAATATACTACTAGGATGATCAGTGCCAAAGAAAATCTATGACCAGCCAGTCTGAGAAGCATACATGTGAGCGGTCAGCAGAGAAAAGGATAGCATAGTATTTTCAAACTGGGAGGCAGTTTGGAGAAAAGGTATGCTCTGTGCAAATGCAGATGTAGGTAAAAAGTAATTTAATGAGGCTTACACAGGGTTGTTGTCCATCAAGACATTTCCAGGAGACTCTTGATCAGTAGTGGGAAGTTGTACCTAGGTCAGGAAATGCCGTAGACTCTGGATATTGCTGAACAGACATGGAACGCCATGTTTCAGCATGTGACATCCCTTGCATATAGCGAGCACTTCCAGGAAAGTAATTGCTGGTCTAGTAATCAGTTGCATCTCTCAAAAACACTTGTGTTCAGTTTGTCATTAGGGTGGGATGGGAAGTATTTATTTTAGAATGGATATCTGGCTTTGACAGGTTGAACTACTAACTTCCTGGGAATAGGAAGAAATTTCATTTACAGCCAGGTGGTTCCATAACTGTGCTGTTTTTGAACCATCTGGTACTGGCTACTGTCACATCAGACAGGATACCAAATTAGGAGGCTTCTGGGTCTGAGTTAGTGCCACACTTCATATGTTTCTGTGTAGTCTGTGTCTGTAAGAATAGAAGACATATCCTGAATCCTAATAAAAACTGATAGACAATTAGTTATCTATACCTATATGTACATTTTGGCATCGTAATGCCATAATAAAAATGAGAAACAAAGCAAAAAACAAAATGCTGGTTTTACCAGAGGATACAGCATCAACAACCTAGTTTGTACTTTATTCCTCCCTTTCCCTCTCCCCTGAAACTCCTTCAGATACAAATGCTTTAATCCTCATCTCACTCACTAGTGGAAATTATGTACAGCTTCATCAATGTCAGTTAAATTATATCATCATGAAAACAGCACAGGAGCAGAATATGGCCCAATGAGAATAATTCTCTCCTTCTACCCTCTTGCCAATATTTAAGGATTATTAAATGTCTTGCTACACAGAGTAAAAATATATTAAATGTAAACGAAGGTGTTCTCTGTACCAATAACTCTTTCAGTTTATTCCTTAAATGGGAATTTAGTTTCCACAATATTGCATGTTTTTACAGAGAAGGGTATATTCTCAACAGAGTGTTTAATGGTTAAGTGGTTGCCTCTACCATGCTATGCACACACACAACCCTGTTATGAATCAGTTTAATTTAGACAAACTTTAAATATACTGCTTAAGAATCTTCACATAAGCTTTTCACAATGTCATGGCAAGAAATCAAAGAAAAGGAAATCAATCAAGAAACCAGAAGCCCTTCCTGATATTTTGCATGTATCCTAGTAAATCTGTGTATAAAACCTCATTTTCCTACTTGCCAAAGAATCTATTCAATTTATTACTTAGTCATCATTGCAAATCCCACATCTATTGTCACATCACTACTGGTGACTCATAACTTCAGGAAAGCAGTACTTGTTGAAAGTCTGCAAAATAAAAAGAACTTTAAATCTTGTTGGGTTGTGGCAATGCTAATATTAGCCTCAGCTAAGTCAGATTCTGGTTAATGGCTGTTCTCATGAGCTGTGATAAAGATTGTATGCTGTTGTGTGTCAGAAGAAAGATGTACCAGATAGAGGTTCAGTTTAATCAATGTGTGTCCTATATGGTCTCTTAACTTTTATTTTTAAGGAACCTTGACTTTGTTGCTGTCTTATTGTAAAAAGTTTATAGGTTAACTGGCTGGAAGACACACTAGAATGGGGTGGGCAATAATTTTTGGAA